CCGATCGATTATATCTGAAGTCTTTTGCTACAGCAGCAATACTAAAACTTGAACTTCCATTGCCTGTGGTTGGAGTTACAAATTCACCGTATAATAAAGTGCTTTTATAAGGATCACTCTCCAAAATATTTACACGATAACTGTAATTCAATGACGTATCATAAACTGTATCGTTTGGAATACCGGTAATCGTTTGTGGCATAAGTAGCTTGGGTAAAGTAAGCTGACTAAGTAATACACCTCCACTATCAGCTGCAACGCAGTTTATGGTATATTTTGTATTCGGTTTTAAATTGAGCGCACCTAATGTGTAATCTTCAGTTTGTCTAAGTGTGTACGTCTCTCCGCCTCCTTGAATTGTTAATGTCAAAGTAGGTGGATTACTATCTAAAGTTACAGGCCCGTCTTTCTTGCAACCGTTTAACAATAAGATCACACAGGCAAAAACGGAGATTATTTTAATTGTATTTTTCATTTATGAAAAATACAATTAAAACTGAAACTGGCATTCTTCAGCTCGTTCATCCAGGATTATTTTTATTTGCATTCACGCTCGAGTTGACCAATTCGAAGATTTGGACTCCTTTCCGACATTCCTGAAAATTCTTTTCAGTCAAGGTTATTCTTATTCGGTTTTCGCGCAGATTGGAGTTTTCGCGTGGATTCTCGCGAAAAATAAATCATTTTTGCTCTCCGTGCGGAGTGAGCAGGCCTGAAAAAATACGTAATATTGCTATTTATTTTGTATTTTTTATATAATTTTTTTTTAGCGGAGATTCTCTGGAGAGACCAGGCAAGACTCTTTTTATTTATCGATTTTGCTTCCCCTTGCAAAAATATTTGCGAAGCTTTTCTCCTCCGTTTATTTACAACGACGCTTAGCGATAGAAGTGTGACCTTGATCAGCGCCATTTTTTCGCAAACGGAAGGGAATAGACTGACGTGACTTAATAGTCGCGACCGTCGGGGGAAAATGGACATCGAAACGGGACTTTCCGGGACATTCCGGGACATTTCGGGACATTTCGGGACGGAAATCGATCAAACTTCTATTTTTTCGTAATTGACATGACGTGACGCCGAACGTCCCCGGCGAACAATCGCCATTGCCCTCATTGCCCTCATTGCCCTCACCGGCGTGAGGCACTCAGGAAACGCGGAGAGATTTCCGGGTACATCCCGTTTCCATGGAAACCCCGATGAATCTTTTTTTTCCTGCCTCGAGAGAACATGAATATTCACTCAGGCTTCTCGATTGGAAGCCGGGGGTGCCTCTGCTGAATCTTGCCGAATCTTTGCAAATCTTTCGTGCAAAAACTAACTTTCAGAATTTTTTATTAAGGTTTTTTTTTCAAATGAAAAATTTTTAGCTTTTTTATTATTATAGGAAAAGAGAAGTATTATTTTCTATTTAAGTATAATTTTTTTTTTGCAATTTTATGCCAATATTTCTTTGCATTGTTTCGAAGTCGGAAGTCGGAGGCAAGTCAGTAGCAAGCATTTTTGCGCTATTTTGAGCCAAAATCTGCATATAGGCGATGGATGATTTCAATACTATAAAAATTAAATATTAAAACTATAATTGAAAATAAGGTTTTGAAACAAAGAAAAAAGGGTGATTTTTTAGCGAGCGAAGTTTCCCGAAAGAGAAGCGATCCGATTCACGAAATTTGATCCAATCCCATCCGAGAAATTTAATCCGATTTCGAGTCGCTCAGGTCGACCTTGAATCAGGTCGACCCAGGTCAGGACGATCGAGAACACAGGGTCATCATTGATTGTTTATAAGTGTCCCTGGACGTCCCCGAAAAAGGGGCACAGTAACCCCAGAAAAGGGGCACAGTCACCACGAGGCCTCAAGAACGGGTTCCCTTTCCCCAGCGTGGTTGCCATGGCAACCCGGGGAAGGGGGAGGATATTGATTCCCAAAATGGCGCGCAGGGACTGCACTTGAATGCCCGACATTCCTGCGGGTATCCCCTCATTCGTCCTTCCTCGTTCGTCCTTCCTCCTCCGCGGACCTTCCTTCCTCCCTCCTCATGCCTTTTCCGTCGCCCACGTGGTCGATTTTTCGCTTGAGTGGTTCTGGAGATTCATATCGGCGGAGCTAAAATTGGGCATCTCATTTTATGTCCTCCATTGATCGACGGATGATGGATATTAGATGGATGGATGGATGGACGATGGATGGAAGGATGGGCAATGGATGGACGGATGAGCAATTGATGGATGTTAGGTCGATAGATGGATGGATGGTCAATAGATGACTAGACGGTCAATGAATGGATGGACGGTCAGTGGATGGATAGACAGTCAATTAACGGATAGACGGCAAGTGGATGGATAGACGGTCAGTGGATGGATGGATGGTCCATGATATCCCTGGAACACGTGACCCCAATATCATTCATATCCAGGGAGAGGAAGTTAAAGAGAGGAAACGCCCTTGGGATACATGGAGGGGCGGACTCCCTTTATCTTCCTAATGGAAGTACGGGAGAGGGAAAGAAAGTCAAACAATCCTGGATAAACGTGATGAGGGTTTTCCTCTGAAGGGGCTGGTACCGGTTGAAAAAGGATTCTTTGGGGTTCGTCGCCTTTCGGCGTTTCTCGGGGACGTTGCGGTTGGGCGTGATTAATTGTAATCCGATGATAATTAATCTGGAATCGCTTTAATTAATTTCGGATTCGCGGCTGCGCCGGATGAAAAGTTGAGGATTCGATCATGATTTTCCCGGGAATCGGGATCGGATCGAGGATTTCGCACCTGATTGGCTGGAACGAAGGTGGATCTAGCCAATCAGATGGCCAACTTGTGCTGACGTCACTCCTGCCTAACTTCCTCCAATAGTAAAAAAAAAACTACTGCGTAAAACCATTGACGCGGACTTCCTGCTTTCTCCCTTGGGTGCCACAACGCGAAACTGAGAAGAATTCTGAATGGGCCGCAAAAAAACATGCAAAAAAAAATCTGCAACGAGCAGGGTTGCGCAATGTAGGAACTGCGACTCCCAATCTAAACGGCCAGAACCTAACTGCATCTGCTGATTCCGAAGGGAAATTTCCGGATTCGGTGGATAATCTCATCCAATCCCGCTGATTCGATCGGGAGCTCAGAACAGGCAAAAGCAAAAAAAAATTAATCTGGAGAAGAAAGAAAAGTGGGGGGGGGGGGGGGGGGGGGGGAACCGTGCAAATTAAATTGTGCAAATTCAGAATCAGAACGAAAATTGACACGGCCGAGAAGCCATCAGAGGCATGAATAATTAGTTTAGAATAATATTGTTGATTACTTATATATATATTTTTCTTATTATTATTTTAATATATAGGGAGACTCAAATATGTAAACAGTAATTCGTTATTCCCAAAAATAATAAGAAATGTAAATAATATTTATTTAGAGGTGAAACTTACATTAGGCTTAGAAACAACAAATTGTTTCGTCAATTGCTCAATGGCTCAATGCAATTGCTCAATGGCTTCACGCATTCGCTCAGCCGCAGCTCTCAATCGATCGCGCGATTGCAAGGTGAGGAGCTGAGGAATCCATTCCCTAATGGATTCTTCAGCTCTCAAAGGGCTGAGTCGCAATCGAGGTCCAATCGAGTTTTGGGATCATTTTGCCTCGAAAAGAAGAAATCCTGTCTCGAATGAGAAATTAATCGATGCTCCGAATCGATTGATGCTTCGAACCGATTGATGTCCCCGACCAGAATTTGTGCATGTCGTCGGAAAATGTATGATCTCTAGCATCGAAACACATGATTTCCAGGGCTGGGGAATCCATTCCCTAATGGATTCCCCAGCCCTGCAATGGATTGCTCTCAGCATCTCGCGGTGGCGCGATCGATTGAGCGCTGCGGTTGAGCATGAATGAGAAGCCATTGAGCATCCGTTTCGAAGAGAAACAGATTATTTATTTGCCGCGTAAAAGTTCTATCTCCCTATCGTATTTATTACTCAAATAATTTAGCAATAAAGACAGGATATTTTTTTGGGGGCCATTTTGAATCTTTCGACCGTTCCTCGATTTTTTAAATGATTAACGCTAGCATTTAAACATTGAATTATTTTTAAAATTTATTTTTAATGCTTAGCTTGAAAATACCGCTCCCGTCCTCCCCAGAGTGATGTTCGCCGGGAAAGGAGAACCGGAGGTGGAAGGCGAAGGATCAACCCTGCAGTCGTGCCCTTCCCCCCCCGCATAACCGAGTGAGAGAAGTCCCCCGCCAATCGCGAACCAGAGATGTCTGAGGGATCGGAGACTCCGTCGGAGGAGGAGAGGAGCATCTTCCGCCCGTTCACGCGGGATTCCCTGGCCGCCATCGAGACGCGGATCGACGAGGAGATCGCGAAGAAGAAGGAGCTGCAGAAGAAGCGCGAGGAAGGCGTCGTGAGTGCATCATTCCAAATTATTTCATTTATATTTATTTTATTCAATTTATTTCATTTTTATTCATTTTATTTGTTATTCGTTTAAAAATTCTGTACATAAATAAAATGAATTTTCATTCATAAATAGCATTTTAAGGGATTAATTAAAACCATCCCCTAATTTCCTATTGTTCCTTGTTCTTAAATGAAATGATTTTTATTTCAATTAATTATGTATTATATAATTGCTTTTTTTCTTTCTGGTACCGAGTGGAAAGTGGAAAAGGGGGCTCGTTCGCGAAAGACGAAACAAAAAATCGAAGCATCTCCCGCGTTGAAGTCATGACAATTTTTATTTTTGATGAAGCTCGAGCAGGGTCGACGCCCTGCAGATCATGAGGATCTGTAGGATCTATAAGATCTGCAGGAGGCCCGGAAAGTAAGGAGTAACGAGGGGAGGGAGCCTCACAGGGCGTCTCCTCCTATGACTTCAAGGATCACCTTTGACCTTAAGGACCACCTCCGGAGTTAAGGATCATCTCGGACCTTCAGTTCCACCTGTCCACACAGGAAGGGCGGCGAACCTCGATGCCCGCCCTAGATGCTTGCCCTAGATGCTGGCCATAGATGCCCCTCTAATCATCATTCGGGGCTTCCCATTCATGGGATGATGCCATGTAATGACTTCATCACTGCGGGGTTCCCCAGACTTCATTCACCCGGATCGATTCCGTTTCTCTCTGGGAAACTCCAGAAACTGCTTCATCGTGTTAATCGTGATTCGATTGGAATTACAATTACAAGAAATCGATTGGAATTGCAACTAAACGGATTCGATTAGAGTAATGTTGTCACGTATCAGCCAGAATTACAATTACGATGAAAGAGGGAATTACAATTACAATCATTCGATTGGAATTACAAATCCGGCTGCAGCGGGATCAGCAACATCCTCGATCCACCCGAGAAACATCTCTGAAATGGCATGCAGATCTCTCCATGTTGGCGAAAATTGAGGGTTTTTTTGGCGTGCAAATGAGCCTCCCCTCATGGCATCACCGTCTGTCTGGGACAGCCGGACGTGACCGGGATCCGGAAATGACAACTTCTGACTCGAGTGCTGATGTGAGGCTCTTTCCCGGAATTTGCCCGGATGTTTACTGGATGATGACCGGATGTTGGCCGGATGTTCACCGGAGGAGTGACTGCATCCAGTCTTTGTTCAGCTGTCACAAGTTGAAAATGCTTCAACCTGATAACCGACTGCTTTTCTGCAATCGGCAGGAAAAAAATTGCAACCTGTAATGAATGGCAGCAGTCCAAGATGCGCAAATCCGGCCGAGGTTGAATAATTTGCAAGTCTTCTCATGGAAGGCAATGGGCTTAAAGTCTTAAAGACTTACGGTCCCTGGGTTCCTACATATGGACAGAATTTTTTTGTTTTTTGTTTTAAGAAGAATTTTGAGATGCAAATTTTTTTTTTGCATTAATGTTGACCTTGACCACTGGGAAGGAAACTCTCTGCCCGGTTTGCGTGCCTGGGCTGCAGAATTTCGTTTCCCAGGGGAATGCCGGAAGAAAGGCAGGCATTTCTTCGACTTCCTCCGATGGAAGTGTCCCGAAAAACAGGTGACAGGCGATACAACGCGAAGGATGCTTCATCTCGACGAATGGGCAAAATAATTTCCCTGGTGACTGTTTATCCATGGCGACTTCTTAATCGGTGGGTCACGTGGCACCTGGATCTCCTGGGAATAGCGCCATATGACTCACAAGAGGTCATTTGGCAACCGACTATGACGGAAGCAAGGACACGACGCCAACAATCGATGGCTTCAATCGATGACTTCAAGGACCGGTCAATCACACTTTCCTCTTACGCAAACGGGCCCTCTCGAATCGATGCGACCCCACGTGATCCCTCCAAGATCCCTCCAAGCTCCCTCCAAGATCCCCTGAAAGATTCAGAGTCCAGGCTTAAATCCCCCAATTGCATCAATGTTGCACGGAGTGGAACCCGATTCGGATCCGATGAACCCTTCAGTGATGCTGATGACTCTTTTCAGTTAAGACCCCTTTCCGTGATGACTCTTTTGAGTTAAGACCCTTTTCCGTGATGACTCTTTTGGTTAAAGACCCTCTTGCGGATGACTCTTTTGGGTTAAGATCCTTTTGGTGATGACTCTTTTGAGTTAAGACCCTCTTGGTGATTGCTCTTTTGAGTGATGACTCTTCTGGGTGATGACTCTTTTGCATACAGGGGGATCTGCAGTGGGGCTCGCCGCAGGCGGACGTGAGGACTTCGAATCGGCTTCTTTTTTTCTCCGACACTTTCGTAGAATTTTGCGATGCCTCTAGGGAATCGTAGATGGTTCCCCCCTTTAAGTAGCGTTTCCAGCACTTCCGCTTTTCTCTCCTCCAGGGCGGCACGAAAAAGCCTTGCTCGTCTGGCATCGTGACATGCTAACGTTACGTTATTCCCTATCGAGACGAAACTCCCCGCTTTCGAGCTGGTTCGGTCCTCATCTCTGGATGCCACGACGGAAAATCGGCATCGTTGGAGGGCCATTCGACCGGTTTTTCAAACGATGCCCAATTTGCCGTCCGGATCCGGATCCGGATCCGGATGGGATAACGAGCAATCGAGGGAAGGGAAAGAAGGGGAATCATGGGAAGGTAATTCCCCAGTTGCAGAAGCGGCCAGTTTCTACTCGAAAAAGGGAATATAAAATATGCATAATTTATGAAAATTTCACGATGCCTCTTTCGTGCCGCCCTGATGCCCCTCGATACATCTAGGCATCTAGGCATCTAGGCATCTATGCAATTTCCTCCACGCCTCTGCATCGTAGCCCAAGCCCCAATCCGAGCATGCCCACTCCCCCCGTAGTCAGGTTTTCCCAGGCGGAAACAATCCTGGAAGTTGGTTCAGATTTTTTTTTTTTTCCTCATCGAATTAATGCACTTGGGGAGTGCATGGTAATTTCGTTATGAAGAAGCGCGAGCCTTTCCTCCTTCTTTCATCTCTTTTCATCTCGGGAAGCTGGAGAATTCCCCGCTGAAGAATTCTCTGGAGGAATCCCAAGGGCGACCTCCGTGTCAATTAGCGTCAGGGAAGAGCAGGGTTGCTTCATCGGCAACCCTGCCGTGGAACCGGCTTCAACAAGAAATTACAAATTACCAAAAAATTTAAATTCAAGAAATTTCATTAACCAACTCTCACGAAATCCATTAGAACTCGAAGGAAATCGGAGAAACAGGAAGAAATAGGAAGAAATAGGAAGAAATAGGAAGAAATAGGAAGAAATAGGAAGAAATAGGAAGAAATAGGAAGAAATAGGAAGAAATAGGAAGAAATAGGATGAAATTGGAGGAGAAAGGTCGTCGAAACTGTAATGCGAAGAGTGTGGGACTTCCTTCAAATCTTCCCCGGGAAATACCCACAAGCACATCAACGAAATGCGGGAAGGGAACTTTTAATCGCGTTTAGAAAAAACCCAGGAAAGTTTCAAGGTTGTGGGATGAGCAAAAAAGCTTCCTTCGTTCGACTGCTGCATCCGTACGAATTTTGCAAATTTCGGTTTTGCTTCTGTTTCGAATTTTGTTTTATGATGATCCTCGTTTCTCGTTGAATGCAATTAATTTCAAGGAAATAAACATATTTTAATTAAAAGTAATAAGGTAATGGGTATATTGTAATATAACAGGTAACAGGTAACAGGTATTGAAAGGTAACAGGTGGATGCGAGGTGGACTTGGAACGAAGCGGATTTCCACCAGGTGGAAAATCCACCCTGGAATTTGAATGCAGGTGGACGGCAGGTGTATTTCCGCTTAGTGGTCCACCTCCACCTCTTTAGAGGTCCTCCTTAATTTAACAAAATTAAGAATGATTATCTGAGAATGATAGCGTAAGGTTGGGCACTAATAAGTTACTAAATTAAGCAAATGACTCCACTTATCACATGATGTCAAGAGTCATTAAGCAAGAACTACTCCGCAAATTTTCTTGGAATGAATTGCATGACACTTGGAGAGATTCACGCTAATTATCCCGTGAATTGCATGAGCGCGTTTTAATTAGTACGGATGCTGCAATCGAGTGAAAGATGACTTCAAGGCCCCATGCATCAAGCAAGTTTGCATCATCGCCTCTGAAGGCGTTCCCCGCATGGCCTGGCAATGGAAGGCTCGAAAATGGCAAAATGGCAAAATGGCAAAATGGCATGCCAGAGGGAAACCGACATAATCCGCCAACATAAGCCAACCTAATTATATTCCTCCTCCACTTCCTCGCATAACACTCATCCTATGACCTTGAATCAGCACCATCCCGATAGACACCATTAACGCCCCCTGTTCCAGATTTCATTAATGAATTCCTTTCAATTAGTCGGACCCCCGCCCCGATTTCCCATTAGGGCTTTTAGCGGCTTCTGTCCCTGAAATTCTAATCGTTTTCGTTTCTCGCTGCGGGGAGTTCCAGCACCAAAGCTTCTCGATGCGATTTTTCTCGTTGGCAAAAATTTGCATTGTGCCAAATTATCTCTCAGATTAAATTTTAAAAAGTCCCTCGGAGATACTTATGCATTGAAAGTCAGTTGCGATTTTGTCTGGACAAGCTGGTGCAACGCGACAGACTGAAACAGGATTTGCAGAAAAACTTGCAGAAAATGCTGGTGCAGATTGAAGCGTTTCTGCACCCTTTCCCCCCGGGAAGTATTTGAGAGTGAATGCTGCGCCAATTGGGTGCTTCAAGCTAGAATGTTGAGGATGACTTCACCATGCGAGTTTTGGGGACGAAAACTTCAGGAATTATGCAATTTTCGAGAACTGCACGTAACCTGTGATGCAATATTCTAGACCTGCACATAACCTGTAATGCAACATTCGAGAACGATTCATAACCTGTAATGCAACATTCGAGAACGATTCATAACCTGTAATGCAACATTCGAGAACGATCCATAACCTGTAATGCAACATTCGAGAACGATCCATAACCTGTAATGCAACATTCGAGAACGATCCATAACCTGTAATGCAACATTCGAGAACGATCCATAACCTGTAATGGAATTTGCTAGATCCGAGAGGAGGAGGAAGAGGACGGCCCCCAGCCGGACCCAGCCCTCGAGGCCGGGGCGTCGCTGCCCCTCCGCTGGGCCGTGGAATTCCCCCCGGATCTCCTGGCCACCCCCATCGAGGACATCGACTCCTACTACGCTAACCAGAGGGTATGTCGAGCACGTTTGCCGACCTCATCCCGCGTTAACACCTTTCTTCCTTGGTTACCCAGCTTTGCCATAAGTATCCAGCTTTGCCGTAAGTACCCAGCTTTGGCATATCTAACCAGCTTTGCTATAAATAACCGATTCAAATCTGTGCCCTAATAAGCGGACGACAAAAACCACACAATTTGCATCCTTTCATGGACAATCGCCAAGTAGGACGAGAAAGCGAAGGGGTGATGACCTTGACCATGACCTTTCTCATGGTAATCCTTGTCTCGAAAGGATCGGCAAAGTCTCATGGCTCAAGGTTTCTAGTCCAGCCGACTTAATGCAGGCAAATGGTAAGCTCGATTTAAAACTGGTTCAGAAAAATGTCATTTTCAGTGTTGAAGGCGATTCGATTCAACTCTGAGATGAGGTTTTTCATGGAAACTGGAAATCCTGCGCTGTTTTTTTTCCATTATTCCTGATCAGCAAACGCAGAAAATTAGTTGTAGTGCAATTAAAATTTTAAAAAAATCTCAAGCTTAGCATTTCATAGCTAGCGATATTTACAATGCAATATTTATCATGTAATGTAATGTAATACATATTATCAATGTAATGTAATGTAATGTAATGTAATGTAATACATATTATCAATGTAATATAATCGCGATTTTTACACTTTGGAATCTAAAGCACAGTAGCAAAAAAAAAAATTTTTTTTTAAAGGGAATTATCTATTATTGGATGAATAGGCAATCCCTCGGTCGGGATCGAACCCTCGCTTCCCAAGCGCCCGAGCATCCACGCGGAAGGGACGAATTTCGAATTCCTTCGATAATGGAAAAGCGGGATGGGGTGGGTCAAAGCGATTCCCGAGGGAATAATTGAAATTCTAACTCGAAGTCTCAAAGGAAATTCGATTGGTTAGGCTCAAATAGACTTGTCTCCTGAGTCTTTATCGTCGTCTTTTGAGTCTTTTTTTGGCTTCCGGGTGGCCTGCCGCTTAATCTCGACCCGGGCGATCTCGGGGAACGACACGGGGTCGAGATCGGGATCGACACCGGGTCGGGCTGACGGTTTCCGGGAAATCCCCCCGGTCGACTCCCAGCTGTAAGGGCAAAGATAGGGCTGTAAGGGCAGAAGGTGGGGCCTGCCCGCTTTTCCCTCATCGATCCTCGCCTCCTGCATCTTTTATGCCTACTCCGACTCTGTGGATGTCGGATCGATGGGGATGTCGATGTGCATGAACCTTCTTTCCCGGATCTGCAGGTGGGGAAAGGGGACGCGAGGGACTTTCATGCCCGTTTCTGGCTGAGATCAAGGGCAATCTGACTGAGATCAATGAAACGAAGGGAGGAAAGTTCCCCAAATTGCAGCTTTGCACGGAAAAAATAATTTTTGGCACATACGGTCTTCTTTACGGCGATTCCGTTGGTTTTTTATGACGGCTAACGCACAGGGCTAACTGCGCTTAATCGGCGCCAATACGGTTGAGTAATGGCCCGGCGGTCAACACGAAGGGGTCAATAAAGCCCAGAAACCTGCGAAAAAGACGAGAAAAGAGGGAGTAAACGACGAATCGGCCGGTTATGGGCAGGAGCTGGCACGACGCAAGGCCCTCGATGCACACAAGGTCCTCGATGCCCCCCTATTACCGCGATCGATCCTCCCCTCCCATGTAGGCGATCCCGGGCGGAAATTCCCGAGCACGTGGACGAGGCCCTCGAGGAGGAGGAGGATCCGACACGGCATCGATTTATTGGGTGTAAACACACGAGAAATAAAGGGGAGGAAAAAGGAGAAGGGCAGGCTTTGTCATCGCTTCTCCAAGGTTGTGGGACAAAGTGGGCGTTGGGGACATAGAGGAAGGAACAATGCAGGTATTGGAGGTTTAGAGGAAGGGACGGAGTGGGTATTGGAGGTTTAGAGGAAGGGACGGAGTGGGTATTGGAGGTTTAGAGGAAGGGACGGAGTGGGTATTGGAGGTTTAGAGGAAGGGACGGAGTGGGTATTGGAGGTTTAGAGGAAGGGACGGAGTGGGTATTGGAGGTTTAGAGGAAGGGACGGAGTGGGTATTGGAGGTTTAGAGGAAGGGACGGAGTGGGTATTGGAGGTTTAGAGGAAGGGACGGAGTGGGTATTGGAGGTTTAGAGGAAGGGACGGAGTGGGTATTGGAGGTTTAGAGGAAGGGACGGAGTGGGTATTGGAGGTTTAGAGGAAGGGACGGAGTGGGTATTGGAGGTTTAGAGGAAGGGACGGAGTGGGTATTGGAGGTTTAGAGGAAGGGACGGAGTGGGTATTGGAGGTTTAGAGGAAGGGACGGAGTGGGTATTGGAGGTTTAGAGGAAGGGACGGAGTGGGTATTGGAGGTTTAGAGGAAGGGACGGAGTGGGTATTGGAGGTTTAGAGGAAGGGACGGAGTGGGTATTGGAGGTTTAGAGGAAGGGACGGAGTGGGTATTGGAGGTTTAGAGGAAGGGACGGAGTGGGTATTGGAGGTTTAGAGGAAGGGACGGAGTGGGTATTGGAGGTTTAGAGGAAGGGACGGAGTGGGTATTGGAGGTTTAGAGGAAGGGACGGAGTGGGTATTGGAGGTTTAGAGGAAGGGACGGAGTGGGTATTGGAGGTTTAGAGGAAGGGACGGAGTGGGTATTGGAGGTTTAGAGGAAGGGACGGAGTGGGTATTGGAGGTTTAGAGGAAGGGACGGAGTGGGTATTGGAGGTTTAGAGGAAGGGACGGAGTGGGTATTGGAGGTTTAGAGGAAGGGACGGAGTGGGTATTGGAGGTTTAGAGGAAGGGACGGAGTGGGTATTGGAGGTTTAGAGGAAGGGACGGAGTGGGTATTGGAGGTTTAGAGGAAGGGACGGAGTGGGTATTGGAGGTTTAGAGGAAGGGACGGAGTGGGTATTGGAGGTTTAGAGGAAGGGACGGAGTGGGTATTGGAGGTTTAGAGGAAGGGACGGAGTGGGTATTGGAGGTTTAGAGGAAGGGACGGAGTGGGTATTGGAGGTTTAGAGGAAGGGACGGAGTGGGTATTGGAGGTTTAGAGGAAGGGACGGAGTGGGTATTGGAGGTTTAGAGGAAGGGACGGAGTGGGTATTGGAGGTTTAGAGGAAGGGACGGAGTGGGTATTGGAGGTTTAGAGGAAGGGACGGAGTGGGTATTGGAGGTTTAGAGGAAGGGACGGAGTGGGTATTGGAGGTTTAGAGGAAGGGACGGAGTGGGTATTGGAGGTTTAGAGGAAGGGACGGAGTGGGTATTGGAGGTTTAGAGGAAGGGACGGAGTGGGTATTGGAGGTTTAGAGGAAGGGACGGAGTGGGTATTGGAGGTTTAGAGGAAGGGACGGAGTGGGTATTGGAGGTTTAGAGGAAGGGACGGAGTGGGTATTGGAGGTTTAGAGGAAGGGACGGAGTGGGTATTGGAGGTTTAGAGGAAGGGACGGAGTGGGTATTGGAGGTTTAGAGGAAGGGACGGAGTGGGTATTGGAGGTTTAGAGGAAGGGACGGAGTGGGTATTGGAGGTTTAGAGGAAGGGACGGAGTGGGTATTGGAGGTTTAGAGGAAGGGACGGAGTGGGTATTGGAGGTTTAGAGGAAGGGACGGAGTGGGTATTGGAGGTTTAGAGGAAGGGACGGAGTGGGTATTGGAGGTTTAGAGGAAGGGACGGAGTGGGTATTGGAGGTTTAGAGGAAGGGACGGAGTGGGTATTGGAGGTTTAGAGGAAGGGACGGAGTGGGTATTGGAGGTTTAGAGGAAGGGACGGAGTGGGTATTGGAGGTTTAGAGGAAGGGACGGAGTGGGTATTGGAGGTTTAGAGGAAGGGACGGAGTGGGTATTGGAGGTTTAGAGGAAGGGACGGAGTGGGTATTGGAGGTTTAGAGGAAGGGACGGAGTGGGTATTGGAGGTTTAGAGGAAGGGACGGAGTGGGTATTGGAGGTTTAGAGGAAGGGACGGAGTGGGTATTGGAGGTTTAGAGGAAGGGACGGAGTGGGTATTGGAGGTTTAGAGGAAGGGACGGAGTGGGTATTGGAGGTTTAGAGGAAGGGACGGAGTGGGTATTGGAGGTTTAGAGGAAGGGACGGAGTGGGTATTGGAGGTTTAGAGGAAGGGACGGAGTGGGTATTGGAGGTTTAGAGGAAGGGACGGAGTGGGTATTGGAGGTTTAGAGGAAGGGACGGAGTGGGTATTGGAGGTTTAGAGGAAGGGACGGAGTGGGTATTGGAGGTTTAGAGGAAGGGACGGAGTGGGTATTGGAGGTTTAGAGGAAGGGACGGAGTGGGTATTGGAGGTTTAGAGGAAGGGACGGAGTGGGTATTGGAGGTTTAGAGGAAGGGACGGAGTGGGTATTGGAGGTTTAGAGGAAGGGACGGAGTGGGTATTGGAGGTTTAGAGGAAGGGACGGAGTGGGTATTGGAGGTTTAGAGGAAGGGACGGAGTGGGTATTGGAGGTTTAGAGGAAGGGACGGAGTGGGTATTGGAGGTTTAGAGGAAGGGACGGAGTGGGTATTGGAGGTTTAGAGGAAGGGACGGAGTGGGTATTGGAGGTTTAGAGGAAGGGACGGAGTGGGTATTGGAGGTTTAGAGGAAGGGACGGAGTGGGTATTGGAGGTTTAGAGGAAGGGACGGAGTGGGTATTGGAGGTTTAGAGGAAGGGACGGAGTGNAGGTTTTGGTCAGGGAAAGGTGGTGGTCAGGTGAAGGTTTTGGTCAGGGAAAGGTGGTGGTCAGGGAAAGGTGGTGGTCAGGGAAAGGTGGTGGTCAGGGAAAGGTGGTGGTCAGGGAAAGGTGGTGGTCAGGGAAAGGTGGTGGTCAGGGAAAGGTGGTGGTCAGGGAAAGGTGGCGGTCAGGTGAAGGTGGCGGTCAGGTGAAGGTGGCGGTCAGGTGAAGGTGGTGGTCAGGTGAAGGTGGTGATTAGATGAGGGTGGTGATTAGTCGACTCTGAAAGATTGGAGTCGAAGCGAAACAGTAAAATTTAAAAAAGTCCACTTTGAAACTCCAATCGCTCGCAGGGCGAAAAATGCTGATTGCCGATTTCATCGCAAAAATCAAGAACTTCTCGTTCGGCAAGAGTTGCCAAACATGGCCGTCGCCCCCGTTTCCCGTCTCCGTGTTTCATTCTCCCCCCCTCACCCCCTTTCTCGGCCCTTTCGTGACGCTACGGAATAAATGGAGTGCCCGTATCACGGCCGGATGCCTCGGCCGTTTCGGCCCATTACCATCGATCCCGTAATGCCCCGTCATGGAGAATTCGGCCGGGGCCTCGGCACAGATCGCGGGAGGAATCAGAAGGCGGCACGACGCAAAAATTGGCGCCTTCGCGGCAAATCCCTTCGACCGCTCTTCCACCTCATCACGATCGCTCGCGATCGAGTGCAAAATTGTCCTTTAGCGATCGCAGCGCCATCAGTGCAGGGGGGCATCCAGCCCTCACGGCGGGTTCCCCTTAATGTCAACAGCAGAGGCATCAGGGTCTGCCCGGCTGAGAGAGCGGAGGACCTTGGACCCTGAGAAATCCAATATTGTGGATATCGTGATCCTTTGCGAAATAGAATGGGCGGAGGCTTCAGTTTTGGGCCGGAGCCAAGGGAGGCAATGGATGGCGAGGGGGGCAATGGATGGCGAGGGAAGCAATGGATGGCGAGGGGGGCAATGGATGGCGAGGGGGGCAATGGATGGCGAGGGAGGCAATGGATGGCGAGGGAGGCAATGGATGGCGAGGGGGTCGAGGAGAAGGATAAGTGGAGGTTGGATGGCGGATAGGGAATCCATGGGCCGGTATGGAACCTTCCCTTGTTTAAGCGTCCGGCTTATATTGAGATCTGGAGAAATCTGAGGGAAATCGAGATTCCTTCTGGGCTGATATATGAGGAGTTGCTTCAAGACGAAGGGCCGGCGCCTTCGCCGCGATCGATTCCTGATGGATGCGTGCAGAATGGACGCGCAATCGATTTTGGCAACGATGTTGCATTTTTCAGTCTGCAAGAGCTATGCACTTCGACTTTAAATAGCTCCCTCCAGGTAAGTTTGCGCATCGACTTATTTGCACGACTTGGCCAACTCTGCCAACAGCCGACTCTGCCTCCTTTTTCGGTGCGCGAGAGCGACGGATTTCGAAACACTCGCAAATAAATAAAAAAAAAGGAAGAGAAAACCGCCCCACGCAGCAGAATGCTAAAATAACCCAAGATGACCAGAACAAGGGCATCATCGATCACGAAGGGGCGGAAAAGGAAGAGGAAAAGGGCAAGGAGAGCATGTGTTTGCAGGTCCCCATGGAAACGGCATCGATGCAACAATCGCCCCCCATGCCCCCCCCCACTGCCCCCCTGGAAGGGTCAACAGCTGCCCAAAACGGGCGGCGCACCTGTCAATACGAAAGCCACTCCTTAAGTGGAATGCTTAGGACTGTGGCAACAAAATATGAACGCAAAATTCCATGAAAATTCAATGCAAATTCCTTGCAAATTCTCATGCAAATTTATTTCCATCTTTCAAGTTCGTTTCCCGATTTGACTGCTTCATGCCAGTGAGATGCAGCACATTTTAAACGCAGGCTGGATAGAATTATCTGGAAATAAATTCATGAAATTTGAGAAAATAAAGTTAAATTTTTTTTTTTTTTATTTTCAAAGCGAAAAGAAAATTGCCAAAAATGGCTTTCTCTGTGGCAGCAAATATGCGTGCAGATTATGGGATCCCCTTTTCGCTAATTTTCATTCCAATCTGAAAATTTCACGCCTCAGACGCATCCCCAGCATCCCCGTTGCCAAAATTTTGCGAAATGAATTCAGCACGCAATCCCTCGTGCCAAATTCCTTCACGGGCCGGAAATGGCATCGAAGTAATGGCTCCGCTTTCCGCCCGACAAAAACAAATACGGTATTTATATATACGATATTTAAATAAATTCAAGAGTTAACGCCTGATTAATTAGCGATTCCGCCTCTTATCTGTCATTAATTTCATTATGGATTTTTTAAAACTTTGTTAATCAACTGATTAAATACGGCTTATTTTTCCGAAGAACAAAATGCATATTTAATCAACAGATTCAACCAATTCTACTCTAATTGGCTGGTTAATAAAAATTGGCGCAAAGCCATTCACATTCCGAGGGAAAAAAAAACAATTAAAGACTTGGGCATTAAAATTAGAATGTGATGCTTTTTCTAAGTACCGGTACATGTAGTTTTTTAAGTACTTAAAAGAAAAGTACCTAGTGAATGATTCAAATTCGACTTCGGATATCTCAAGGTCAGCAATTTCCCGAATCGCGAGAAGAATACTGCAATTTCCATTTTTTCTTGCGGTCTTCGGCGCTGAAGTTGAAGCGGGATGACGTCATCAAAATCGTGCCAGTTGAGTCAGGTGCTGGCATCCTATGAGACCGGTGCCCCCTTTTCCCCCTCTTTCCCCTCTGGTCCCCCCTTAGCGCCACTTGCCGCACTTGCCCCACTTGTCGCCATTATTCCTTTTCCTCTCCTTTTCCCTCCTTTTTTCCACCTCTTCCCACCTTTTTCCCCTTTCCAGGAAAAGATCTAGAGGCACCCCTTCCCTACAAACACAGCGCTACGGCAGCACCAGATCTGTTTGCCCATAAAGATAATATCGAGGTCGTTCGATGCGTCCTCTGTGCGTCGCCCGTGCGGCTTGGAAGCAAAGCCAACTCAATCGATTCCCACGGTGCAACGACTGCTCGCCCATTAACATCATTAACAGGCGAAATGCAGTCACTGCAGCCCCCACCGCACCGCTGCAGCAATCCCGATGGGACCGGGTGGGGCATGCTCCATCTTGCAGTGCAAGCACGATCCCATTGGGATTCTTCATCTCTCTTGGACAGGGTCCTGATGGGACTGCAATGGTCTGTAACGCCTTTCGCGCCTCCTTTAAGTCAATCACCCTGGAAGATGCGAGCGGAATGAGGCGAACGGTCGGAGTGAATGATGACCAGGAATGTAACATTTACGATATATATAAAATAAGGTTGGGACAATATATATATTTTCTGGCGGCCAAACCGTTGATACGTTCTTCGTGTTTGAAGGAAATTTGGTTCAGTTTGAGGTAATTCTATATCGGGGAATATGCGCAGCCTGCAGTGCGGGCAGTTAGGACTGACCTCGAGGTCGGGCGGGCAAGGAGTTGGCACGGATATTCAGGGGCAAGCGGATCGATGGGGAACTCAATGGGAGGATTTTCCCCGGGATGCGAGGATTGTGCAGTCGTGGATGAGATTCCTACATCCTTTTTTTCGCGATTGGGAAGCGGATACGAGGAAGGGAAGCTCTTGGAACGCCTCAAATCATGTAGAATCTTTTTTTCCCCCTTCTTTCGCCCAGCCCAAACATTGACAAATTGGGACATTTTAGCACTTACTCACAGCATTCAGGTCGATTAATTAAATTGAAATTTAATATAAATGCACTTATTTATTTCCAGACGTTCGTGGTGGTGAGCAAAGGCAAGGACATCTTCCGCTTCAGCGCCACAAACGCCCTGTGGATCCTGAGTCCCTTCAACCCCATCCGCAGAACCGCCCTATATGCCCTTGTCCATCCGCTCTTCTCTGTGCTCATCATCACGACCATCCTCGTGAACTGCATCCTCATGATCATGCCTCCGAATCCGAGGATCGAGTCCACCGAGTGAGTCTACTTTTCAGCATTTTCCTCATTTTTTCGTTTTTTACCTCGAAAAATTTCAATTTGCAGATAAATTGCTATTTAGGATTGATTCATTGAAAGTCACGATTCAGTTTATTACTGATTTCGTTGCTAGCCGCAACGTTTTTGATCATTCATGTTTCAATTATTAATCCTTTCCCATAAATAAAGTTTGAAGAAAATGATGAGCTTTCCAGTCCAATCAATTAATTTTGAAATGCTAAATAAAATATGAAAATATGCATTGGCAGCCTTTTCCGCTTTTCGGAAAACAAAAATTGAACTTTCTCACTCGGTTTTGTTCGTTACATTTTCAGATCTTAAAGGGCGAGGTCTGCGTCATCGAGGCCAAAAATAAGTTACAGAGCATGATAAACATATTTTTTTTGTACCTTAGCAAAACAAATTGGAAACTTTCTCGCGAAACTTTCCGTCCATTCATGCTCTTCAACGAGCTCATTAAAGTAATGCCTCACGGACTTGACTTTGTGTGAGAACCACCACACAAGCAGGGCATTGCACGTTCCCCATAGAATCAACTCGCACTGCCTGCTGGAGCATTTTCTCCTCTGAGTGGAAATCCCCGATGAGGTGCAGGTTGGGTTCCCATAGAAACCGCGTGCATGCATCTAATCCCGACCACGCTTCCGAAATAAAAAAAAAAGCAATAGGGTAATGAGGAACGGGACTATGGTGGGTCCATTATAAAGGGACGAGGACCTCGTTACTCTCATCAGGCGTATCAGGAATCCCAATCAACGACCGCTCCCCCTCTTCCTCCTGTTCCATCTCCGCTCCCCTTCTTCCTCCTGTCTTGCTCCTCCCCCGCTCCCCTTTTTCCTCCTGTCCTACTCCTCCTCTGCCCTCCTTCTTCCTCCTGTCCTGCTCCTCCTCTGCTCCCCTTCTTCCTCCTGTCTTGCTCCTCCTCTGCTCCCCTTCTTCCTCCGGTGCCTCCTCCGATGCTCCTCCTTTCCCTGCTTCTCTTTCTATTGCATCTGAATTCTTACAAAACTAGTTCTAGCCTTGGATGCAGGGTGACATAAAAGTAGCTCAGGCTTCATCCTTTGCAGTATTTTTAGATGCAATGTGTTGACCTCATGCGTTAAAAGAAAACATTCAGCTTTTTCATGATGACGCGGAGATGCATTTGCGCAAATTCAACTCTATTTCCTGGAAATTCCGCTGCGTACTTTCTGAATTATCGTCGATGAAGAGAAACTGCCTCTTTGAACGGGGGGGGGGGGGGGGGGGGGGG